AACTGTCAAAATTAGGAATGCATCAATTACATACTTCACTGAGAATTAGGAATCTGTTAGGTGAATTGCCTCAGGAAGTATATTCAAATAGGGGTAAGTATGAAAAAGATCAGTTGAAATAAATTCACAAATTTGAATATTTATGTTCACCAACAAAACAATATGCAAGTGGAAAACAGACTCCAGTCATAGCACTTTACAGTGGACCCCCCCAACTTACGATCAGCTCCCAACTCGAACAATTATGCAAGTGTAATTTTTGTAAGCGCTTTTGTAAGTGTATTTTTGGGGGTCTGAAATGGACTAATCTAATTTACAATATTCCTTATGGGAGCAAACTCGTTCAGAAACGGCACCCAAACAGCCTTCTGGAACGAATTAAATCTTAAGTCGGGGGTCCACTGTGTAAGGGAATGAAAATGACTTATTTGCACATCTTCCACAATAATCATCCAATGGTAATTGAGGTCAACTGGTTAAATAACACCTCTTAGAAAAGTCTGCAAGACTAAACATGAAATAAGATAAGATTTAAGAAATGAATCTCATTAGGCTGGCATGGTATACTGGGTAGAGTGAATTGCATGCTACAATTAGCAGGCAGTGCTAATTATAGCAGGGTTGCCACGAGTTAAAAATCCCACTACAAAGAAAAGCACTTAATCTCCTTGGTTATTTAGTGATCTTATTGTAAATTATCAGCCATTATCATCAATTTTCAGCTATATTAACCCTTTCATGGTCAAGCCCCCTGACCTCAAACTTGCTCTTGGGGCTGAATTTAACTCGAAACTATCCGAACGTAGATCTACATTCACTCGCTTAGCCCTCCGAACGTAGATCTGTTTTATTTTACATGCCTTCAAATGTAAAATAAAACTTAGATCTACGTTTGGAACGCTACGCAAGTGAACGTAGATCTACGTGTGGACAGTTTAAGGGTTAAAAAAAAAAAAGTACAGAATTTTATGGAAAACTTACAGAATTACACTCACAAAGTTAGCAGTCTAAGTGATATTTACGCATCAATGATTTCACCAACTTGAAGCCCTATTTTTGGCCAATTCCATCGCCCCAGTCAACCAAACTCATAGCTATTTTGCTAGTATTCCTTCTATTCTATTTGAGTACAAGAAACTGCCCATTTACCCATTTCAGCTACCCAATAAAGTGATCAGAATTCGGTAATTTGGCCAATTTCACACACAATTAAAATATTGCCAATTTAAAAATAGGATCCAGGATAAACAATATAGACATTCCTGGCACTAAAAAAAATTCTTATGTTCATTAGTTACATTCCTATATTACGCTTGCTTTCCATTTTGAATTTTATTCACACAAAAAATAGAATAATTACTATTATGCAGACTACAACATTATTGTAGTAAGTGCTTAAATAATGTCAGCACATTTGTGGACACACATCAGACTGACCAGTTAGACATGTACTGGATGAGTGACGTAATGTGTACTCTTGGAATACAGCGGTCCCTCGTTTTTCGTAATTAATCCGTTCCTGGAGGAGCTACTATAAACGAAATTTACGATGTGCGAATCAATTTTCCCCATAAGAAATAATGTAAATACAATTAATCTGTTCCTGGCACTCAGAAGTATTAAAACAAAAAAAATTTTTTACATGAAATATACATGTAGTACATAAATACAATGGGAAATGATGAATGAAACATTAACAGCATAACACTTACCTTTATTGGAGATTCTTCTTCGTGTATGGGAGACTGGAGGAGGAGAGAGATTGGATTGTTTACAGTTTGGAAGGGGAATCCCCTTCCAGCAACACCTCAGATAACAATTGCTTCTCTTCTCTGTTTCTTAATGCCACTAGGACCACCTTGAGAGTCACTCTAGTCCTGTCTCGCAAAGTAACTGTGGAGAGAGCTCTGTTTCTGGCGTCTCTTTAACACTTCCCTAAAATGGCCCAAGTCTTTGTCACTGTACATATTTCTCACCTTCTTTACCACAGGCTTGGCACTAGGAGCTTTCTTTGGAGCCATGGTAGCTTATTTAGTACTTGCAAGCACTAAAATGAGTGGAATATTATGAAATATTTCGTAGGAGCACTTGAGGGGACCTTCACTCACTGGTAAACAATGCCAGACTGGCTGGGTAGGGAGGCCTCCCCGGCTCCCACCGTGCATACGCGTCCCGGACGAACTACTATTCGCGAGTCAACCTATGAAAAGCGAGTCCATGTTTATATGAAAATACCCCTATGATTCGCGAAATTTACGATTGCCGAGAACTACGAAAAGCAAGGGACCACTGTATTAGCAAAAATCAAACATTTCCGCTACCTCTACTTTGCGCTCATTTTCAAGCTGTCAGTCCTGAAACCAATGAAAATCATCTATTTCTGCAATATATCTTCCAATCTCCAAATGAGACCAAGAAACCGAGAATACAACCATACGAAAATACAGCCTCTCCTCACTTAGTTAACAACGGAGTTCCAATTCTAAGACCATGTCGGTAAACGAACTCGTCGCTAAGTATGGAGTATACTATAATGGTAGTGGGTTTGTGTCAACAATATCTGATGTTGTTTTAGCATTACCTTTGCCCAATTTATAACATTTCTGGTATATTTTTTAAATGTTTATAGTGTGCTGTATATTGCAATTAACAGAATAGAGGAAATCAGCTCTAGTATACACTATTTAGGTATGCATTCTGGTCAGAGAGCCCGTTGTAACTCCAAGTCGTTGGTAAGCTAGTACGTTGCTGAGCGAGTCGAGACTGTACACTGCAAAGTCGCGGTTTTAAACCAAAAACACGGTCAAAGTTTTTCCTCCATTATGCATTGCCTGCTGCAGAGCACACTGCATAGACCCATTCTCTCATATCTAGGCCCAAATTTACTGCTCACAGCTTATCTGAGTGAGATGAGCTCGTGGCATAATATGTACTACGGAACTGACCCCGCACTTCAAAGCCGCAGTACCATGGGACCCACCCTGAAAGGGTGGGTCCTACTGAACTATGGCTTTTAATTGCAGTTCAAACCATATCAATAATTCAATAAGCTGCAGTTAATTCATTTTAATGGAAGAGGAAATCTCTCCACTATTTAGGCCAAAAAATGGGTTACCGAATTCTTAAGTCGGACACTCAGGTCACTGGAGGAATGTTTAGAAAAACAAGACAAACACTGATAATCATATGCACATCAACTGTTTCACAGTTAAGCAAGTGTGTATGTATAAATACATACACACAGGTTTTTATTCATTATAAAATCCCACTGGTCCTCTGAAAATTGATTAAATGCAATACACAAATCTAAATACTGTATGGAACTGTAATAAAAACCCTACTAAAGTTCTAAATTTAGTCAATGCTGGTAAAAACTTGGTATATACTGACAAGTTGTGGTTAAAAATACATGAGCAAACACTTATTTTATTTGGAGTGAAAAAAGTTCTAGAATTGGAACATTATATTCATAATGAAATGTCATGTGTATGATCATGTGTAACAACAATCAGTACTTCTGGTGGAAATTTTTCGTTTATTCTTACCTTAGCTTCACCAAACACAATGTAAGTGTCAGAGGCAGGATTCTTAAAGACATCAGGCTTATTGATGACAAAGAGAATGTTCTTGCTTTTACGAATAGTGACACGGTTAATACCTGGAACTTGCTTCAATCCCAACTTTGACATAAGCTTGCGGGCTTTCTTCTCCGATCGACTTTGCTTAGCTGCCTTAGAAGATTCTGTAACTGTTGGTGCAGATGCAGAACCACCCTGTTCTAGTTCTGGCAAGGATTCCTGAAGAAGATTAATACAAGTAGATAAATAAATGTAGCTTCAAATGAACACACAGCTTTAGATAATGAACTTAACTAGCTCCAAGAGGAATGATTCGTTATGAAAAACATGCAAAACTGCTCATGAGTTCAAATCCCTAACTTTAGGTTGTGAAGGAAACCATAAGTGCCAATGTCAACAACAGCATCTGACACTGACCTTTCATAAGTTTAACCAATACTCAAGACATCTTATCAGACTTCATACCAAGTGATGTCGAGCTACACAAAATGAAGTTATGGTAAGTGAAATTCACCACCCTTCAAAATACAAAAATTACATAAGAACATAAGAAAGCAGGAACACTGCAGCAGGCCTGTTGGCCCATACTTGGCAGGTCCTTCACAAACCATCCTACTAACAGAATCGTATTTGCACAACCCAATTTTCAATGCTTCCCAAGCAATAAGCTTTGAAAATTCTATTCACTCATGCGCAAGTTCCACTCAAATCAAATCATGTATGTGGGGAAGTACCCTGTCTGGTGTACAATATATGAACTTTAACATAGCACAAGTTCTTTTGAATAAAATATCAAAGCACTTTCAGCTAGTGTCATAAGGTACCAGTGGAAAAAATAGTAATACAAGTGCTGCAATATATACTTTGAAAGAGTATATTGCTATAGGAAGCACTTGACAATTGGAGATGGAAGCAACCCTGACCAGAATTAGTGATAATATGACAATTCCAAAACTATGAATCTAACTAAAAAACTGTCAAGTCCTGTTATTATTACAACTGCAAGTCCTGAAAGGATACTAGACACAGAAGACTGCAAAGACATTATTTGTACAGTAAACACTAGGTGTGCCAAAGTATCGGTAATGACATCACTGGGTAGCGGCTGATTTTGATGGTAATGGAACTAGCCTAAAATTGAGTATGGGCATCAGATAATTTTGATGGTATCAGTATTGGCCTAAGCTCGACTTTCGGTATAGGAAAAAATTTTGGTATCCTATCCTCAGTGAATACTTCAATACAACTTACACCCCAAAGTCAAATTGCTTACACTCTCGGAAAAGTTAGTCAGTGGTAGCATAAGATAGTCATTATAATGACCCCATCATAAAAACAAATCTCATTAAGGATGCTATGACTTCCAAAACAAAATAGACATATAAACGAGTTTAGCTAGAATCTACTGAACAACTCCAACAAATAGCAAAACTCATCCTGACCTAATTCATCAGTGTACTGCATGGACAGAGCCATCATCGTTATTCACAAGGAGAACGAACCTGAGAAGTGTACCAAGTCTACAGTTTCAGGCTGACATTGAAATCATATGAAATTTCACAAAGCAATGCCATTTCCTCTCATATGTCAATAACAAAAACTTACCAAATCCTACCAGCTTTCTGCTCACCATCTTATTATCTGAATCGCTATTTTTTCTAAGCACTTGTGTTATTACCACATTCTTGAAATGAATATAGCCTTAAAATTAACTTAATTTCCAAATGTTAGTTTGTACTATAATGCAAATATACGTAATACATTTAAATAAATATTAACAGTAATATTAAATGTAAATACAAAACTATTTTGGATTTCACCTATATGTATATACTTTAATTAGATATGACAAAAATCATTTAACCCCATAACTGTGTCCAACATACTGGAGGGCCCAACGTATGTAGCACCCTCTTTTCATTGGTTTTCGACTGAGCCACTGTTCACTATGTTTGGTGCTTTTACCACTTTTCTTCTGTTATTGCCATTTTCATAAAACAGTTGCATAAGAAAAGGATGACTGGCACCATAATTTAAGTGCGTATTATGTACTGTGTACTTTTTTTTATATTTTTTTCATGTTGTTATGCGTTTTAGATGCATTCAATAACGAAAAGCCAGCAATTTCTTTATCGTTTGGGATCAGAAACCTTTGAGCCGAACAAACGGGGCCAGGCTGTATTAATATTCAAGTGACAAGGTTGTCTAGTGTACTAGTACGCACTATTTTTTGTGCTTTCAAATACACAACCTGCCTATTTTCTTGACCTCGGCACAAATGTTTGGGTCTCCTACAACTTCTTCGTGCCTTTGAAAAGATAAGACCCAATGGTTTCACGCAGTGAAGCAAGGGTAGCATTTCCTAACTTGCATAATTAAACAATGAAACCAGGACCTGTTGTTTCACCACCAGCAAACAGGGTGTGGAACTGGCAGGAAGATGCCGTATTCATCCCAAATTTATTACAATTTCGTGATACGTACTACTAATGGAATTAAAAAAAAAAAAAAAAAAAAAAAAAAAAACCTGTAGGATAACCTAGCTTCAATGAGTATTATACCTTAAACAATTGTAATGTCACAAAGTTTCCTTATATAAATACAGCTTCTCCTCACTTTATGACTGAGTTATTTTCCTAAGGCCACGTCAGTAAACGAATTTGTCGCTAGGTGTGTCAACCACTTTTCATAATGTTTTAGTGTCACCTTTGCACCATTTATAACATTTCTGGTATATTTTTAACCCCCTGACTATTGCAACCCCCAATTCTGAGGTGTCTCCTGGTCTCAAAAAAAAAAAAAAATTCTTATGAAATGGTAAGAGAATATTTTACCGATTATGGCGAGACCAAAAAATGAAATTTGATGGAAAACTGACGGAATTATGCTCTTGCAAAGTTAGCGACCTCGTCGATATTTACAAATCAGTGATTTCGCCCACTTTGAGCCCTATTTTCGGCCAATTCCATTGTTCCAGTCGACCAAACTCATAGCCATTTCTTTAGAACTCCATTTTTTCTATTGACTGAGTACAAGAAACTGCACATTTACTGATTTCAACTACCTAATAACGTGGTCAGAAATTTGTAATTTGGTCAATTTCACAAAAACTAAAAAATGTGACCGTCAAAATAAGGTCCAGAATGAACAATGCAGACATTCCTGGCTCTAAAATAACATTTTCTTTGTTCATCAGTCACGTCTCCAGGCCCCTCTGATATTACTCTTGCTTTCTATTTTGAATTTTTATTCAAACACAAATAGAAGATTTACTGTTATGCAGACTACTGCAATATTGTAATAATTGTACAAATAATGTCAACCCATTCATGACTGCATATTAGAATGGCTAGTTGGACATTTACTGGACAATGACATCATTTGTTTACTTTTGAACATTGGCAAAAATCAAACATTTCCCCTACTTTGAGCTCCATTTCAAGGTTCTTTTTATAGTAAAACCAATCAAAATCACCTCTATTTCTATAATATGTTTTCCATTCTATCAAATGAGACCAAGAAAACGAAAATAGACCACAAAGTTGGCATTTTAATTAAAAAAAGTCTTTTTTTTTCTCGTTATGCACTGCATGCTCCAGGATTTTTTTTTATATGGTGCACACTGACCACACAGACCCATTGTCTCACATGTGGGCCTACCAGCTTTCTCCTGCTTGATTTGAAGCCGCTAGAATTTATGAGTAAATATGTCAAACACTGTACCTTGTAAGACGTATATATACGACCGAAACAGTCAAAGGGTTAAATGTCTATACAGCAGTGTACTGTATACTGTAATAAACAGAACAGTGGAAATCAGCACTAATATACATTATTTAGGTATGCATACTGGTCAGAGAGCTCGTCGTAAGTCCGAGTCGTCGGTAAACGAGTACGACGCTAAGTGAGGAGAGGCTGTATCTACTTTATAGTGGTCTTAAGGAACACAGGTGTCATGGGCACACAAATTACAGGTCTCCCTCCACATTCATGAGGGTTAGGGGATCAAGAATCTCGCGAATGTTGAAAAATCGCGAATGTCTGGTGCACAAATATTTTTTTTTTTTTTTTTTCAACAAGTCGGCCGTCTCCCACCGAGGCAGGGTGACCCAAAAAAGAAAGAAAATCCCCAAAAAGAAAATACTTTCATCATCATTCAACACTTTCACCACACTCGCACATTATCACTGTTTTTGCAGAGGTGCTCAGAATACAACAGTCTAGAAGCATAAACATATAAAGATACACAACATATCCCTCCAAACTGCCAATATCCCAAACCCCTCCTTTAAAGTGCAGGCATTGTACTTCCCATTTCCAGGACTCAAGTCCGACTATATGAAAATAACCGGTTTCCCTGAATCCCTTCACTAAATATTACCCTGCTCACACTCCAACAGATCGTCAGGTCCCAAGTACCATTCGTCTCCATTCACTCCTATCTAACACGCTCACGCACGCTTGCTGGAAGTCCAAGCCCCTTACCCACAAAACCTCCTTTACCCCCTCTCTCCAACCCTTTCGAGGACGACCCCTACCCCGCCTTCCTTCCCCTATAGATTTATATGCTTTCCATGTCATTCTACTGTGATCCATTCTCTCTAAATGACCAAACCACCTCAACAACCCCTCTTCTGCCCTCTGACTAATACTTTTATTAACTCCACACCTTCTCCTAATTTCCACACTCCGAATTTTCTGCATAATATTTACACCACACATTGCCCTTAAACAGGACATCTCCGCTGCCTCCAACCGTCTCCTCGCTGCTGCATTTACCACCCAAGCTTCACACCCATATAAGTGTTGGTACTACTATACTTTCATACATTCCCTTCTTTGCCTCCATAGATAACGTTTTTTGACTCCACATATACCTCAACGCACCACTCACCCTTTTTCCCTCATCAATTCTATGATTAACCTCATCCTTCATAAATCCATCCGCCGACACGTCAACTCCCAAGTATCTGAAAACATTCACTTCTTCCATACTCCTCCTCCCCAATTTGATATCCAATTTTTCTTTATCTAAATCATTTGACACCCTCATCACCTTACTCTTTTCTATGTTCACTTTCAACTTTCTACCTTTACACACATTCCCAAACTCATCCACTAACCTTTGCAATTTTTCTTTAGAATCTCCCATAAGCACAGTATCATCAGCAAAAAGTAACTGTGTCAATTCCCATTTTGAATTTGATTCCCCATAATTT